ACTTTAACCCCTTCTCTTTCTCTTTTTCCTTTGCAGCAAATCCTCGATGATCTCCACGCTGTTTCGCATGCTCCCTCCCTCAGGCAAAATCACCATTGACGGCGTCGACACGGCCTCCATCTCGCTGACCGAGCTGCGCAACAAGCTCAGCATCATCCCCCAGGACCCGGTCATCTTTGCGGGGCCGGTCAGGCGGAACATTGACCCCTTCAACCAGCACACTGACAAGCGGCTGTGGGAGGTCCTGGAGGAGGTGCAGCTGAAGGGGGCGGTGATGGAGCTGGCCGGGGGGCTCGACTCGGCCATTGCAGAGGGCGGCGGCAATCTCAGCGTTGGCATGAAGCAACTCTTCTGCCTGGCGAGGGCCATTCTCAAGGACAATCGGATACTGATTCTCGATGAGGCGACGGCCAATGTCGATCACAAGTGAGTGTTTGACTCTTGAAAGTTTTCATTTTGAGTTTTTTACTAATGTTCCTTACCTTTTTCAGAACTGACCTCTTCATTCAGGACACGATTCGCGACAAGTTTGCCCACTGCACCGTGCTCACCATTGCCCACCGGTAAGTAAAAACAGTTGCTGAGAACCTGCAGATCATCATTTTAACTTAAACTTCCCTTAGCCTGCACACCATCATGGACAGCGACCGCGTGCTGGTCCTCGACGCCGGTCGGCTGGTGGAGTTTGACGAGCCGCACACCCTCCTCCAGAATGAGAGTGGCCTCTTCTCCAGCATGGTGAAGATGACGGGCAAGGCGATGGCCAACAACCTGCGGGAGATGGCCCGCATTGCCAGCGAGATGCGCCGCAACAAGGACCACCGGGCGGAGAATGCCAAGGCGCAGCTCAGGGACCTGCAGGGCTCCTTTATCAACTCGCCCGACCGAGCGGGAGCGGTGCCCCGGAAGATTGAGGAGGGCAGTGACAGTGGCGCCGAGGAGGATGATGATGATAACGACGGGGAGCCCGCCACTGAGCTGTAAGTCCCTTTCCCTAGTATTCTCTCTCTCCCTCTCCACCGAGTATGTTCTATCAGCTGTTCTCTATCGTTCTCTCNGTGGCGCCGAGGAGGATGATGATGATAACGACGGGGAGCCCGCCACTGAGCTGTAAGTCTCTTTCTCTAGTATTCTCCCTCCTTCCACCGAGTATGTTCTATCAGCTGTTCTCTATCATTCTCTTGATCATCATCACCATCTTATCTTTTAAGTATCTTCTCTAAGCCATCATTCTCTATCAGCTCTTCTCTATCATCATCACCATCTTATCCTCTAGTTATGTTCTCTAAAACTTTTTCTAGTTTTCTTTATCAGTAGTTTTCTATCATTTTCTCTCACCATCACGATCTTATCCTTTCTCTAGTTATCTTCTCTAAACCTTTCTCTAGTTTTCTTTATCAGTAGTTCTCTACATTTTTCTCTCACCATCTTATCCTCTAATTATTTTCTATCAGTCATTCTCTAATTCTTTTCTTTATCAGTAGTTCTTTATCATCTTATCCTCTAAATATGTTCTATAAGTTCCATTCTTTATTTCTGTTTTTCTATCAGCTGTTTTCTTTCATTCTTTATCACCACCACGATCCTATCCTCTAAATATGTTCTATAAGTTCCATTCTCTACTTTTGTTTCTCTAGCCACTCTTTCCTTCAGTTGCATCATTCCTTAGTATTCTCTACCATTGCCATTTTATCCTCATTTTCTTTCTCTTTCTCTAAGCCCTTTCGCTCTATGATTATTTACCTTTCTCTCCAACGCTGTTTCAATATTTTTCCCTTTTTAACATTTTTTAATTTTCTTTCAATTTCCTTCCTTCCCTTTCCCCCCTTCATTCTTCTATACTGTTTTATCTCTCTTTTCTTTACACTTTAATTACGTTTGTTACTTCCCTCTTCCTTGCTCTTTTTCTCTCTCTTTAAATAACATTACCTGTATTATGTACTCTCTCTCTGCTACTGTCTGTGTGGACCACCACCTTGCCCAGGTGTTTACTGCCGTGGCTCTGTCCACCACCACCACCGCCAACACCTTTTGTGTTCACCAGGTAATGGGCACACTGCTCTGTACTGTTCTGGTCCTACCGGTGATGGTTCCCTTCCTGCGGAAATGAGCAATGTTTGGAATTTGTGCTTTTGCTGGCAGTTGACAGGCAGACACTGCTGCTGCCACTGTGCTCAGAGCTTAATTAAACTGCTAACTAATGATTTGGATGAACACACACACACACACTGTCTTTTTCTATTGCCTCTCTCTTCTGACTCTTCGGCGATCACACTAAATAATCAATGTACTGCTTCTAACTGCGCGCACGTTTGCGTTTATTCCGAGTCGTGTCCATTAGCGGTACCGAGAAGAGGAAAAGAGGAGAAGGAAAAGTAACTGCCAAAGTCAAGAACGAAAGAAGGAAAAAAGGTAACAGCAGAAGTGAGTGTACACTTCTATTGCAGTAGTAGCAGTTCGGCAGCAAATTGCCGTATCTTGTTTATCACTTGTGCCGTTCAGTTCAGGGGAGCAAGTGGACGACAACAACAACAACAAGTTGAAGTGAGTGTGTGTGCCACCGAAGAAGAACGAAGAACGTACGCTAAGTCAATTAGATAGTGGAAGAAAAAAAGGAGTGGGAATTTAACTTTTTTTTGCTATTTTTCTCTCGGTTGTTGTTGCTGCTGCAGTCCTGGAGCAAATTTAATTAAGCGACTTGAACAGTCTGTTAGTTGAGATAGAGAACTGAAGGAAAACTGGAGAAAACTGGTCACCGAGTGGACAACGAAGTACTGCACAATAACATTTGCTTGTACTGTTCAAGAAGGAAGTGGGTGTGTGTATCATGGTCTGTGGTATCAGTTTGAAAGAGGTGGAGTGTAGGAGGGAGAGAGGTGCAATATGTGCTCTCTTTTTCAAAGAGTCTTCGAGAAGGGCTGTCCTCAAGGTCTGATAAAGCAAAGGTCAAAAAAGGAAAGGACAACACTAGTTCGCCGTTTGTTTGCAGGCACTTGCGGTTGCTGTTACTTCCTAAGAAAGAAAGAAAGAAAGGCCACATTGTTGACATTGTTGTGGTGGTGGTGGTCACAGTGTTTTCTGTTTGCACATCCTTGACCTTAGTT